ATCAAATGTGGAATAAGATGTTCAGTTTATATTTTGCGTTTCGAATGCATTGTTTAGAACGATTTTTGATTTAGTATTCGAATTAGGAATTATTTCATATTTTGCATATTTTATTTCAGACAGATACATCGTAAAGACCGTTTTTTATATTTCTAAAATATTTATTATTCTATTTTCAGATATCTGTAGAAATAAATCCGTATGGAACAATTGTCCTTGAAGAGCAATCCGAAAAAGCTTGGAACAACGACATCCACTGGGTTAGACTATTAAGACTTTCAAACGATTGTCATAGTTATAATATCCAATTAAAATTGCAATCTCAGCGATCGTTAATCAAGGAACAAATTCCCCCAAAATTAATTCTGCAAACTGTTCGAAATATCGAACCTGGGCAGGAACTACTACTATGGTTCTCAGAAGAAATTTTGGCATTGATACAAATGTCGTTTCTAACACCAAACAATATCCAAGGTAACATTTAAAACAACCTATATATTTCTAATTTGTTTCATATGGCAAGTAGATAGCAATAGATAAAAAGTGATACCAATAATTAAATCACTCACGTGCAAATTTACATTCAGTATCGTAGTTCAAAAACTGGCATTATATATATAATCTTAGATTGTATATTTTTCAAATTATGAGAATTGAAAAACATTTAGATACAAGAAAATTTAAAAAGTAACACCAAGGAAAAATGCTTCAGTCAAATACTAAAAATAAAAAAAATACCACGTGTAATTATACAATACGCTACTGAAGCGAAACTTCTTCAAACACACAAACATACCGGGATAGGGGTTAAGGAATTGGTTTAATGGTATTGTTTGTACACCATGAATTTAAATTTTACACTATACATGCCGGAGTTGCCTATAACGAACGTTGATGGTCTGGAAATTGAAGAATATATCAAAGTAGAGGGTACCTACAATGGTGGTGGTTAAAAAAAACACGAGCATCATCTGCTTTCAGAATTATTTCATTAATTCAAAATAAACTCAGCCAAATTGATATCACTTATGTGTTATGATTATGATACTTCAAAATTTAAATGTGCTGAGGAAAAGCTCTTAAAACATTTTTCTGGCTGTTTAATGAACCGATTTCAACGATAGCCTACAGAGATGAATAGAATACTGTTTATTGACTATAACAATTGTATTAATTGTAAACAATTGAAATGATTTTCCCAGACGAAGTTACTGATCAAAACTGGTTGATAATAAGATGTTGACCCGTGTAGCATTTAATATAATCTTTGTGATTCTCGTCTAGTGTTTTTATTTGTTGATAGTAGATAATTGTTTTTCTACCAAAAGGTAAACGATTTCCTTAGCAGTTTGGGGAAGACTGACAAAAAAGGCTCTACTTCCCGGAAAATTTTTGTATGAATGATTGAGCAGTAATCTACGTA